AAAAAAAAAGAACCTCTCCTGCGGGTAATGCACATTTCCCACAGAGCTGATTTCATTGTGCACGAACCCATTAAGTCAGACATCTTTTCTTCCTATCCAAATAGCCTTTCTTGTTAAATGAAAGACTGTTTTCTGGTGCTCCATCCTTAAATTAGACAAAGGGTGACTGATGTGTTTCCTTATAAAAAATATTTTCATGAATGCATTGAATTATAAATTTAAAACGAAAACAATAAAGAAAATCTTGTTTGCAGTTACCCATCATTCAGATTCCACCCAAACATCTCCAAGAGATGGTGCTCACACTTCCAGAGACTTTCAATTTAAAAAAAAAAAAAAAAAAATGTTTTCCGCATAAGACTTTCTAAACCTTCTCTTCTTCAGCCATTTCACCCTGCCTCCTCTAACTGTATCTCATTTTAATTATTCTTGCTGTTTATTTCTTCCTTCCTTAAAAATATATTTAATAGATTTATATAATGCCTTCCCAGAGAGCAAGAGGCTGTGTGGAAAACATCTAAATAACACAAAAGCTTTATGAGCTGGGAAGAAACTTAAATGTCAGAATGAGAGTAAAGCAGGAGGGAGAGTGAATACGGCAGGAACGAGGCCTGAGAGGAGCCAGGGCTCAGCGGGGTGAGCCTCAGGGTCTGAAGGCAGAGCTTCAGAGATGGAGGACCAGAGTGAGTTTGCTCACGTGCCCCGAATCCACGAAGCCCCTCGATGGCGCCACTCAAGAAAGGGCCAGACGCTTCCACCCCTCCCCACAGGACTGTCTTGTGGTTCACAGTTCCAGGCCTGATGGTCTCTTCTTGGTCCTGTGGTCTCTGGTGGATGTGGGATGATAGACTTGGGTTGGACTGGAGGGCGTCATCGGATCTTGGAAATTTCCAAGGATGAAGGCTTTGCTGTGTTCTTAGTAATCTATCTTCTTCGGCACCCTGTCCTCCTTCCCAGCCCAGCTCAGGCCAGGCCCACAAGGAATCTCAGCTCCCAAAGGAGAACCTCGTGTTGCCAGGGGGCCTGATGAAGGTCTCACCCGAGTGTCACTTGTGAGTCCCTTTGTACTGTCTCCCACCATCACAGGGGCTAATGGTGGCTGGAGAGTGCCCTGAGGGACTCTGGATTTAAACTTCATTTTATTTATTCTAGACCAAAATTGGACTAGATCACTTCTAAAGACCCTTCAAACTCTGATGTCCTATGATTCTCTCCTTCTGCCAACCAAAACAGAAATAAAAGAGTAATTATAGGTTGCTTCTTGTAAGCATTAACCTCAAATAGTGTTTCAGTAAAAGAGGCCAGCAGACACTTGGCACCATCGGGGCATTTTTCAGTTCAGTTTGGTTCTGGTAGCCAAACCTCCAGAAGGAAGATGAAGGAAGAGCCTCAGCCAGGGGAGGACCTAGCGTGACTGAGGGTGGCCTTTGGCGTCCTGCAGATTGGAACATAGTAGAAGATACCGCACTGTGCAGAGAGATTTTCACCAGCGCTCGAGATACCAGAACAAAAGGATATTCTTGAAAAACCAAGATAAATAAGAGGAATGTACGATGTGTGTTATGTCTTATATGGTAGATAGTAAGCCTGAAAAGAAATTGCCTGAGCGGCCTGGGCTGAAAACATAAATAGATTCATGGTAAATTTATTTTGCTTATTAAAGAAAACCAAGCAATGTTGGTGGTACACGCCTAGCTTCCTAAAAAACGTGCTTTGCAATGTTTTGAAGGGTCTTCCATTGGCCAAAGTCATTGCACCTGGTAGAAAATTTTGGATAATGTGCAAAAAAAAAAAAAAAAATGTAATGAGCGCCTGGATCAGCAGTTCTCAACCTGTGGGTCGAGACCCCTTTGAGGGTCAAACGACCCTTTCACAGGGGTCGCCTAAGACCATCCTGCATATCAGATATTTACATTCCGATTCACAACAGTAGCAAAATTACAGTTATGAAGTAGCAATGAAAATAATTTTATGGTTGGGGGTCACTACAACATGAGGAACTGTATTAAAAGGTGGCGGCATCAGGAAGGTTGAGAACCACTGGACTAACGTTATGGAGCCTGTCGCAGGCTGGGCTGGACCCGGAGCCTCTGACTGCAACCCCTGCACCTCCTCCACCCAGAGAAACAAATGCTCCCTTTTTAACTGCAGAGAGAGAAGGAGGAGGTGGCACTTTCTCCTCAACCAGTGACGTAGGTGGGTCAGCTTAGGGTATGACCAGAACAGACAAAAGCCAAACTGAAGAGCCTAGACGCAGCTGTGGAAGTAAGTTACCTCGCATGGTCTGGGTAGGAGAGGGAATCTCGGGTGACACGCCCAAGGCAACATGCAGAGGATAACACCCTGAGCAACCCTGGGCTGGGACACGGCTGCCCTGGCACTGCCTCCCATTAGTGTCTACATGGGGAGCACGTCCGAAAGTCAGCCTGTGGTCAGACCCTGTCCTAGCACCAGAAAGCAAAATTAAAGCAACAGAAAAGGGAAACACCCCTCAGTTGTATTTTAGTCCAGTCCATAGGCTGCCTGTCCTCTCTCCACCCCCATCTATAAACCATCACCCAGTCCTGTGGGGTCTCAGCGCTTGAAATAGCCTCTGGAGTCACTTCACTCCCCTTGGTCCCCCCCTAGCACCTGGGCTGCGCACCTCCTCTCATGGCAGTGGGCTCAGAGGTCACCGCTCCACACTCTCACTGCCTCCTTGCCAGCCCGTTAATGCCTCACAGCCAGTGATCTCTCTAGAATGCCAAGCCTGACGGAGCCAGCACCCTGCTCTGATGAAGCCCCTTCAGTGGTGTGTCCGCATGGGGCCCTCCTTCCCCATGTGGCAGGGTCTGGAATGAGCACCCCTCGGGTGCAGAGTCACTCCTGGCACTGCTGAGTCACCCCCTAACTGGGGACACTGTCTCCTTGCCTCATAGCACTTGTCACCAGCATAGAGTCACGCGTCCATGTGTTTATTTGGTTAGTGTCTGTTCTCCATCCCTGTGGCCAGGCCCACATCCGTGTGTGTTCACCAGTGGATTTCCAGTGACTAGCACAGGAAAGGCTCTTCACATTTGCTGAACACTGTCCTTGTCTGCCAAATTGGCAAGGTAGCCTCCCAAACAAGATTTCTTCAAGGATTCGTTCGTATTTTAAGATAGATAACATTGGCCAAAAATATTTTTTGTTTTTATTTTCATTTATAGATTTAGAGTGCCTGTCGCTTTCTTTGTTTTAAGAGACATCTTGCTCTGTTGCTTGGGCTGGAGTATAGTGGGGTCCTCGTAGCTCAGAGAAACCTCTAACTCCTGGGCTCAAAGGATCCTCCTGCCTCAGCCTCCCAAGTAGCTGGGACTGTGGGCATGTGCCATGATGCCTGGCTCGTTTTTCTACTTTTTGTAGAGATGGGGGTCTCACTATATTAGACTGGTCTCAAACTCCTAACTCCTCCTACCCCATCCTCCTAAAGTGCTGGGATTATAGCCACGAGCTGCTGCACCTGTTTCCGTCCTGACTAATAAACTACTTTTTTAGGTGATTGTCATCTTTCGCTTTTAGAGTAGTCTCTCCATTGATCTCACTCAGGATCTGAAGCTCCAAAATTAAATAGGCTAAAAATCTTAGAAAAATGGGATTGGCTCTGTCCGTGTGCATTTTCTATTTCATGGTGTGCCTGTAGCTTGCAGACATAGGTAGCGCTCAGTGTATTTTTGTTTATTTATTTGTTATATATTATTTTCATTTGAAAGGCATGTATCTACAGTAGACTGTTTGGGGGAGGAAAGAAAAAACACTACCACTCAAACTCAACCTCTGTTATAACTTTGGGACAGTACGTTTCAGTCATTTTTAACACCGCTATAATCACAGTGTACATAAAATTCTGTGCCCTGTCTCTTTTCCCTAAAAAGCCTTATTGTTGATGGATCAAAGTATTATGCTGCTTATGGCATGGAATTTATTTAGTTCAGTAACATGTATTGCGCCAGGCAAAGCCTAAATACCATTCAAAGAAAACACGCAGATTTGATACCTGGACTCTCCAATAATAGAAGACCGTAGTTATGATGCTCTTAATGGCGAATTGTGCTTCACGGATTTGTTTTTTGGCAATTCTTCTCCCTCCCAAAAGGCATACAGGGAGGGGCTGCTGTTTACCAGGTCAAGGGAGGTGACATGTGGCCCAAGTGGAGGGAGGATGGGGCTGGGCAGCTGTCAGGGAAGGTTCTTCGTGGTAGAGTCACCCTCAGGTGCATGGTGTTATTTGGCTTTTTTTTTTTTTTGAAATTTTTGGCTGCGGCTGGGTTTGAACCCACCACCTCTGGCATATGGGGCTGGCGCCCTACTCCTTTGAGCCACAGGCGCCGCTCAGGTGCATGGTGTTTTAAGGAAGAGCGAGGAGCTGGGAACAGGGCAGCAGAGTGAGGGGAGAGGCTAGGAGGGGCTGAGGCCAGCGAGGCCCTTCACCCCACCTTTGTCACCCCCTGGATGAGTGGCTTTGCACTCGCGCCCCAAAGCTTTCTTCCAGACACGTGTGTGATGTTTTCATAAAGTGCCGGCTCCTTCTGTGGAAACAGGCAGCAAGATGACTGGCTGCACCTTGTGGTGTCAGACTCACAGCTGGTTACCCCCGTCCCAGGAAACTAGGCATATTCCACTTGTTGGAAAGACCGTGTAACCTAAATTTCTTCTTTCTTTATCTTTGACTTATTTGAGGCAGTTGTTCCTCTCTGCAAATAACGACCAAATTGTGTTTTCAGATTGCACAAAAAATGGAACGTGGTCAGGCTATAATCTTTAAGCATGTTTCGGCCTCTGACAATTCTAGAAACCAGGGGTTTTTCTCTTGCTGTGGGAGGCTACCCTAATTATAATCTTTCTGGAATTGTTTTACGGTTAGATCTGATGTATGCCAAGCTTAGATCCCATTAGCAGGCTTAAAACATTTATTTCAGAAAGAACGGACTGTTAGAGGTTGCTTCGGGTAATTGATGTCTTTTGTTTTCTTCCCGTTGCAGGAGGAGACATCACAGCTTTCCCAGATTGGGAGGAAAAATATGGAATGTGTTTTACCGCTGACTGAACAGAACCAAATGAACTGTACTGACAGTAGTTTGAAAACCAGCAGTTAGCAGTTTGTTCAGGCTCCAACACTGTCCAGCACTTTCCAGAGCAAACGCAACACTGTTTACAAGAACTCTCGGCCTTACCAAGTTTATAACCTCGAGCTTTGTTTATTTAAAATATTTCAGCAAAAGAAAAGTACCTAAAAGCCACTTTCCAAAATGGCCATGGAGGAGTATTTGTGGATGGTCATCTTGGGTTTCATCATAGCTTTTATCTTGGCATTTTCTGTCGGTGCAAATGACGTGGCCAACTCGTTTGGGACTGCCGTGGGCTCTGGCGTGGTGACCCTGAGGCAGGCGTGCATCCTGGCTTCGATATTTGAAACCACCGGCTCTGTATTATTGGGAGCCAAAGTAGGAGAGACCATTCGGAAAGGCATCATTGATGTGAACCTGTACAATAAGACTGTGGAAACCCTGATGGCCGGGGAAGTTAGTGCCATGGTCGGTAGGTAGCTTTCTTCTTCTTCTTCTTTTTTTTTTTTTTTTGAGATAGAGTCTCACTCTGTCGCCCAGGCTAGTGTGCCATGGCCTCAGCCTAGTTCACAGCAACCTCAGACTCCTGGGTTCAGGCAGTCCTCCTGCCTCAGCCTCCCCTATAGCTGGGACTACAGGCACCTGCCACAACGCCCAGCATTTGTTTTCTATTTTTAGTAGAGATGGGGCCTTGCTCTTGCTCAGGCTGATCTCCAACTCCTGAGCTCAAGGGATCCACCGACCTCAGTCTCCCACAGAGCTGGGATCAGAGGCATGACTGACCCTGCCCGGCCTACAGCTTTCTTTACCCCAGTGGGACACACCTGTCTACCGGCCTGATTCCACCCAGTACTTTGATTATATTCATAAATGTGATTTTTGCTTTGACTTTTCAAAGCCTGGCTCAATGTTTTATACCTAATATCTTATTTTTGCTCTCTGAATATTAATTTGATTACAATTTTTAAAGTGTTTAAATAGCAAGCAAACCATTTATTTTCTCAAAACTTAAGCCAACTTAGTTGTTCAAATAGATTTTGGCTAAGTGGATACTTTCACAAAATACAGAAAAAGATCTTTAGAGAACAGCTTTTTATTGTTTCAGGGTTAAGAGTTATTAAAGAAATAACACCTCTAAATGGATGTGTTTTTGAGGTTTCCTTGTGACATTTCCTTGAGCAGCGATTTATGTTTTTTCTTAAGATTTTTCATCAATTAGGACATGTGCAATGTTTTGAAAACCTGAATGTCAATAAATAACATGTATGAACTTTTATATTCTCAGTTTGAGTTCTCAGTTCAGATTCAGTGACCAAGTGAATCTTCACTAAGTGCTTATGTTTCAAGAAATTCTGGTCTCCTGTGTTATTTGTAATCCTTTTGTTTGGATTTTCTGATTCTACCTCCGGGAGCTCCATCGGTATATTTGTTTTGTTTTTTTGGCCAAAAAATAATGTGTAGTTGCCTGGTTATAGGATGTTTAGATGAAGAGAAGTCTGGAGGGGAGTGGCCCTGAGTGAGGAGGCTGACGGGCGGCTGTGATGACACAGACTCAGCACCTCTACTACAGCTGGAAAGAACATTCCAGGCAGAAATGTGGGAACGTTCAGCTGACAGGGCTCTTTCTGTGCTTGCCTCTAGATCAGTGGTTCTCAACCTTCCTAATGCCGCAGCATATTTTCATTATTAAAAAGGGGTGGTTGCGACCCACAGGTTGAGAACCGCTGCTCTAGACAGAGATGCTGTCACAGCAGACAGCTGCTCTATGTGGGTAATTTGGGGACAATTTGGTTCAGGGGAAGGGGGTTGGAGAGGAATCCTGCCACCTGCTCTCCACAGGACATGGCCTTTTGCAGGAGGAGTCCTGGAGGGTGGTAAGACACCGGGGTGCCAGGAATACAGACCACAGGTTCCTAGTGGTCTACTTTGTCACCTGTTTCTTAAGCAGCTGGAATGTGGCACTTATTTGCCAAATTTAAGATGGCAAATCTTAGTTTGACAAATTGTTGAGGCATCTGACCAGAAGCAGCCGTGTGCCCTGAGAGGAGATTCGATGTTTGACTGAGCAGGCTGGGAACAGATGTTAAAGAGCTCCTGCCTCTCGGTTTGACATTCTGTGCTGTAAAGACCTGAGGTTGAAGGTCACTTTGATTCCAACAGCTGTTGTCATTACTGAATTTTTCTTGCCTTTGCTGAACATGTGTTTCTCAGCATAGTCAGATGTAATTGAAAATTTCCCTCTGAAATATAACTATTATGGCTCGGTGCCTATAGCTCAGAGGCTAGGGCGCCAGCCACATACACCGGAGCTGGTGGGTTCGAATCCAGCCCGGACCAACTACAACCAAAAAATAGCCAGGTGTTGTGGCAGATGCCTGTAGTCCCAGCTACACTGGAGGCTGAGGCAAGAGAATCGCTTAAGCCCAAGAGTTTGAGGTTGCTGTGAGCTATGACACCACAGCACTCTACCTAGGGTGACATAGTGAGAATCTGTCTCTTAAAAAAAAAAAAGAATAACCAATTATGTGTAAAATTCACTCTTGGTAGTCGTGATAGATATCTAAGATTTAAATTACGTTAAGCTAAAATTAAGATTTTTTTTCAGTCAGGATCATGTGAGTAAAATGAGAGATAAAACTAAATCTTAACTGAAGTTTTCCCTTTGTTGGTTAAAACTTCTGAGGACTGGGGTGCCCGTTTGAGAGACTGATTGGCCCCGCTGCTGGGGGCCCCTGGAAGGCGGACGGTTTCCTGAGCCTCCAGCTTCTCACAGGGACAGGAAAGCTTGTCCAGTTGTTCAGTTTTTCCCACCCCTGGCCTTTGGCTCTTTACTGAAAAAAATGAAGGATGCTTACCTCAACTAGAATTTGGGTTTACCAAAGCAATTTGAGGTTTTGCTTGAATAACTTGATTTTGTTTGCTTTGGTCTCTTTATTTTACTTATGTATTTATTTTGGTATGTGGTTAGATGACTCTCAAAGCCTATTTTGTTGGGAATTTATGTGAGTTAACCTAGATTTTTTAAATTGGGTTCTTTGCAATGGGAGCTATGTAAATTTAAGAGGGTGGTATAATTACTGTTGGCCTAAACCAAGGCGGATTCTGTACAGAGGCCTGAATTTCTGTCTTCCTCTTCTAAATTCATTTCTTCTTCCCCCTCTCTCCCTGCCCTTCATTCTCTTCTGCTTCATTTTTTTTCTCTAGCCCGAGGAATCTCTCTCCGCTTTCTGATACCTGTGTCTGAGTTCAGATGGCAGGTCGCAAATGCCAGCTAAAACTCCTGAATTAGTCACCTTCTGAGATCCTTGCTCAGCCCTAGAGCAACCGTCAATCCACCTTGTGGGGAACCAGCTGTGGTTCCAAAAGTCTGGATTCAACACTCCTGGTCTCCTTGCAGAAATTCCCACCCCAGTGTGAAATCGTCGCTCCCTGAACCCCCTTGGGAAGTGCACAGTTCCCTTTAAGCTCCCTGCACTCCCAGAGCTCCAGGTCCTCCAGCCACACTCTTTGCTGCCTCATGTGCCCCTCCCTGGTGATCCTGAGCCTTCCCTCTGCCATTTCTGTCCCCTTAACGCCCATCTCCCCACCTCCCCTGAGTTTTATTGTCTTGCATCCCGTGCTTAATCCCTCTCCCCGTTGTAGGCTGTCATTATCTTACATTAAATTATCTCTGTCTTTTTCCCACTGCTCTTCTTGACATCAGACCTCCCAGGCCCCCATGCAGGCGTCCCTGCCTCACCCACCCTCCCGCAGCTGCTCTGCCCTCCTCCCTCCCCTGCCAGGCAGCCCCCTTCTCTCTACTTATCAGTAGGACTCCGGGACATATTGTACAAAGTCAGCCAGAGAAGGGATCGCCGCTTTCAGGAAGGAGAAATCTCATGGTCTGAGTCCAGCTGGGAGTCTCTCCCATTCTGTCATTAGATTATTTTAATTGCTGCAGGAATATGAATCACACAGTTTGCTTTTTAAGTTACAGTTCTGTGTACTCCAAACACTGGCTTTACTTTTGAAACAACTAGTCCCTGAGGAGCCCAGGGCTCAGATGTGGAGGCTTAAGGGCCTGTCCTCAGGGAAGTCTGGCGCTGCCACCAGGCTTCTGACTGGTCTGGGGCCGCAGGGGGCTGGCCCCTTCTCCCCCCATGCACACTCCAGGGATAGACGCAGGTCACAGCAGCTCAGCTCAAAGGTCAGAGCGCCTGGTACTCCTGGAGCGGCTGTCTGTGTTGCTTCACACACTGGGACCAGTGACAGCCTGAATGACCGTTCTGCAGCTCAGATATCTTTGAAGGAAAGGCCAGGAGTCTGCTTAAAACTGTTGCTGCTGCCAAGCAACCGGGTTTCCAGAATTAACACTGGGGATTAATAATGTGCCCAGCTCATCAGCTGAACCCTTTGTTCCCGTACAGTTCTGTACGGGCTTTTCAGCAACTGTTCCTGAAAGCGATCTCTCCCAGCTGAGGCTTTTAATACTCATGCAGAATTTGATCTGCTTATAAAAATACCTGACGTGAACTATAGCCTAGAAAAACTTTAAGCCTAGAAAAGACCAGTGGAATTGAGGCGGAAGGACATGGAGCCCAAACTGAGGGATCCTCGTCGTCTTCTTTTTATTCTTAGAGACAAAGTCTCACTTTCTGCCCAGGGTAGAGTGCCCCGCTGGCATCACAGCTCACAGCAAACTCAAACTCCTCAGCTCAAGCCATCCTCCTCCCTCAGCCTCCCAAGTAGCTGGGACTACAGGTGTCCACCACAGTGCCTGGCTGGTTTTTTTCTAATTTTAGTAGAGATGGGATCTCGCTCTTGCTCAGGCTGATCTCGAAGTCCTGAGTTCAAGGGATCCTCCTGCCTCGGCCTCCCAGAGTGCTGGGATCATAGGCATGAGCCATTGTGACCAGCTAAAGCAGCGGTTCTCAGCCTGTGGGTCGTGACCCACAGGAACTGTATTAAAGGGTCGCGGCATTAGGAAGGTTGAGAACCACTGAGCTAAAGGGATCTTCTTAATGACTGAGAATGAATAACAGGCCTGGTGTGCTGGGCAGGGTCTGAGCATCGGTGCCCACTGGGGTTAAACATCACAGCGGTTTCTCATAGGAGACGGAAAAGCAGACAACCAGCCCAGTCTTCCCCTCTCCTCTTAGGCGACATCCCCGATGTCTCGTCCTCCTCCTTCAGCAACTGTCAGGCGTAACCGGAGAGAAAGCTTCTCTCACTGTCGCCTTTCTTACCTTCTGTGTCATTTCGAGACTTTAATCTTTTGCTTGGTTTTGGTCGCGCCTCACTCCAGAATGAGTGAGTGCCTCGTCCTCCCCTCACTCGAGTGTGACAGAGGCGGCCAATACCTAATGTCAGGGGACACGTCCGTAGAGGGGCCAGTTGTCCCCTCCATGAGGAGCCAGGGAGAGCCCTTCCCTCCACCACAGCGAACCGGGCGATTTTTGTCAGGACCGCAGCGCTTTGTGAAGAAACAATTTGTCCAAAATTAAAGTCTGGGCCTGTCACCGAGGACGGCAGTTGAGATCTGTCCCCGGGGTGGCTGAGACTCTGCCTGACTTTCCCCCTTCCTCCTCCCCAGGCTCGGCTGTCTGGCAGCTGATTGCGTCTTTCCTGAGACTTCCCATCTCAGGAACCCACTGCATTGTCGGGTCCACCATCGGGTTCTCGCTCGTGGCCATCGGTACGAAGGGAGTGCAGTGGATGGAGCTGGTCAAGATCGGTAATGCCGGCGTCTTTTACCTCCAGGAGGAGGAGGTTATGCTTCTAGATTAAGTTTTATTAAATATGACTTTGATATTTTTTCTTTCAAATGTTAATGTTTAGAAGACCTGTACAGTAGGGTAATACATTTACCCTTATAATTCCTGTCAGTGGAGATGGTGACCTGTTAGGCGTTGGTTTTGTTTGTTTGTTTGTTTGTTTGAGACAGTCTCATTATGTCACCCTCGGTAGAGAGCTGTGGCGTCACAGCTCACAGCAACCTCAAACTCTCAGGCTTAAGCGATTCTCTTGCCTCAGCCTCCCAAGTAGCTGGGACTACAGGCGCCCGCCACAACGCCCGGCTACTTTTTGTAGTTGTCATTGTTGTTTAGCAGGCCCAGGACAGGTTCGAACCCACCTGCCTCAGTGTATGTGGCCCGCGCCCTAACCACTGAGCTGTGAGCACCAAGCCAGGCATTAGTTTTTTAACTTCATTCTAAGATGTTACACTGTCATCTAGAAATCATGAAAATCATCTTGAAAATCATGTTCTATTCCTCTCAGGCAGGAGAGAAATTTAAAACTTATTTTAAATTTTATTTTTGAAATCAAAGGTCAGAGAAAGGTGAGGCCCGAGTGAGGAAGGTATTTCCAACCCAGGAGATAGTTCGTGTTGTGGGGAAACCTCAGCGTGGGCCCCAGCACTTACCTCACTGCACCTGAGGGCTCCGGGGTCTGCCCCTGGGGAGGACCCTCTCTGCCCAGTCTTCCTTCGGGTTAGGGGCCTGCCCCACTCCCTCTACCAGCTACCCTCCTCCCTCTGCCTTTGGCAAGAGGTGAATCCATTCAACCTCGTAGATACTGTGCCTTGTGAAAAATACTCTGACCCCATGTCCATCCGCTGGGTTACTTGTTTTGTTTTTTTGGTTTTGTTTTCCTGGAATCCCAGTGGTGTTAGGAGCTCTGGGTCAACTGCAGCCTCACCTGCCAAGCAGGGACACAGACCGCCGGCAAAATCGCTTTCTATCCCAGGCTTCCGGACAGTGGACCTCGACCCTGGCTGCACTTTAGAATTACCTGGGGGAAGCAATTTAAAACTACCAGAGCCCAGGTGCCATGCAGCCTTTTTAAATGAGAATCCTAGGGGTGGAGCCAGAGCATACAGAGTTCTGAAACTCCCCAGATGGTTCCGATCCGAAGCTGGAGTTGAGAACTGCTTGGTTGGAGACTGACTCAAGGCTCCAGTCGTTAGATGTCAGGAATGAAAGCACCAGGCTGGGCTTGGGAGATGAAATGGAAGCCGGCCCATCTTTTACGTGACCCTCACTGTTGGGACAAGAGCAGGCTCTCCATGTGTTTTGATAAGAATAGTGGGCTAGGGGCTCCAGGGGCCTGGTCACTGCTGGAAGGACCAGTTAGGTGTGACTGTGTGTCTAAGTATAGCTGTAAATGTGCAGAGGTCAGCCCTGCCCTGTCACAGGGCTCGTTAGAGTCTGAGTTAAGGTGAATGCTTCTGGGAATGTTTATTAATATGCATAATACATTGGGTTATTGTGTTCTATAGTGTGACCCTAAACATGTATGAATTGTTAACATTCATTGGATTTTTTTTTAATCATTCAGTTGCTTCTTGGTTCATATCCCCACTGCTGTCTGGTTTCATGTCTGGCGTGCTGTTTGTGCTCATCCGAATTTTCATCTTAAATAAGGTAAGTGAGACTATTTGGATTTTTAATTAAATTTTAGAACTCATTTTGGTTCTGCTGAATCGAAATGAATAACGAGAGGGATTAGGGGAATGGTTGTATTTGCACGTGGTTAAGGCATGGCACCCAGCAGCCAGGGTCAGATATTATTATTATAAATGGCCAGAAAGAGCCAAGGTGGGTCACCCAGAGTCTCCCCGGAAACCAGCATCACAAATAGCGTTTCTTGGCCCTCTGATTTAGTTCATTAGTCAGCACTCCCAGGAGTTATGCTCCGGTCTCAAAAAGGAAAGATAATATATTTCCTGAATGTTGGAGGAGTAGAATGAGATCATGTTACAATCTTAAAATTGACTATCACTAAAAACCGCTGGAGAATTTTCTTGCCCAAATGTGAAGGCATTTTCCTATTTTCGTTAACAGAGAAAGCAATCGGATTCGATTTGAGAATAAAGACAAGAACATCCCCTTTGGGGGTGCATTTTGTTGAAAAAACTTAGAACATACTGAGATCAGTATTCTAGAAACAAAAACATGATTGTCTTGCTTTTATTTGACAGTGCAGAGGCTGTTGCAATATTTGATGAGCCACAAAGCTCATTGCCTTTGACCGTCCTGCCTAAGCCCCCGAGGGACAGGCCTCCTCCTGCTGTGTCCGGGCTAGAAAGCAGCTCTTTCCCCTCAGCTCGCTGGGGAGGCTGTAGAGGGCCCTTTCTCTTGAATGGGAAGAACTCGCCATCATCCTGTCTCCCTGTTCCTTCTCCTGGGATCACCCACATGATAGATTATTTGTTTACACCTTGGAAGGCGCCAGCCTCCACCTTGCTCACTTCCCCTGCCTGGAATCCACCCGGCCTGGCAAACTCTTCCCAGCCCCGGGTGTGGCTTCCTGGGAAGCCTCTCTCTCCCGCTCACCTCTGGTTGCTCACCTCTTTCGCTCCCTGGGGACTCTGCACCTGCTTGTCATCGCACTTAGCGTGTCGTGTGGTGTTTTATTTCTTGCTCAGTTCCCTGTTCACTATTTGACCTTAAGATCTGTGAGAGTGGAAACCACACCTGTCTTGTCACTTTTGTGTCCCAGCCCCCAGTGCTGTGCTCAGCACGTACAAGATACCTGTTACAAATTGGGAAGAGGAAAGAAGGGATGTCTGGGTGGGCAGCAGGTGACGGAGGGAAGGAAGCAGGAGAGGGAGAGAGAGAGGAACGAAGAGGAAAGGACACAGGTCAAGTGGGACGTTTGTCATTTGAGAGTGTTTTTCTTTCTTTCTTTTTTTTTTTGAGACAGTCTCCCTCTGTCACCCTGGGTAGAGTACTGTGGTGTCACAGCTCACAGCAACCTCATACTCTTGAGCTCAAGTGATCCTCCTGCCTCAACCTCAGTAGCTGGGACTACAGGCGCCCGCCATAACACCTGGCTAATGGGGGGGGGGGGTCTGGCTCTTATTCAGACTGGTCTCGAACTCCTGAACTCAAGGGATCCACCTGCCTTGGCCACCCAGAGTGCTAGGATTATGGGCCTGAGCCACCGTGCTCATCCTGTCATTTGAGTTTTAAGAATAGGTTGTTCGAGAAAACCGAGGGTGATTTCACTGAAAAACACAAACTCAGGGGGCTGTATACCTGCACACGTTATTGGTTGGGGGTCTTTGTCCGGCAGTTATTATCCCTAGGAGAGCACTGCTTTGGAAAGCAGGGGCCGTGGGTGGTCCAGCTCCCAGTGTGCTATTCTCCGTGCAGCCTGGGTCCCTTCGGAGTGCTGCCTCTCAGAGTATAATACGGCTGTGTCCCTCGGCACTGGCCCTGGCCCAGCAGTCTCAGCATCTACCACCCTTCCACCTCCCTGCCTGGTCCAGCGTGACTGTCACACGGCCGAGGCACTTCCTGCTTCTGCCGTGCCTTGTTCCACCCACTCAGGTTTCTGGATGAGGGCTGATGCTCCCTGAGACCATCCAGAATGGCGTCTGCGTGGTGTGTGCTGTCGTGCAAATATACTTGCTCCCCAGACACGCTTGCCTTTGGCAGTCGTGTCTTTGAGAGGCTCTGCTCATCATCCATACTTCTGGGGCTCACATTGGTTTTTAAACCCCATGTTCCAGTTGTGGTATACAGTGTGGCCATGAAAATGTCCTATAGAGTTATTAGAAAGTGGTCCCTTTTTTAATTACCTCACCAACATCTGTGTGTCAGCGCTGCACGGAGGAGTTCCTGGCCCTCACGTCTGCTTCACATTTCTCTGTAGGTCTGCTGAAAGCTCTAATATTTCTCATATGTTCTCAGAAGTCATTGAATCTAAAACATGTGTGTTACCATTCTTGTTGAGGTCTTAGACTTAGCGGGTGTTGTAGCAGAAGCCTAAAGTTGTAAATAAATGTTTCAGTAGGCAAGGAACCCCAATTCTTTGCAGCTGTTAATAGTCGAAGGATAGCTACTAAGCCTTGCCCAGGGTACCAGGGCTGACATGTGCTGTGTGGTGGAGTGACGCAGAGGCCAGCAGTACCGCAGCGCCGTCTCAGTCACTTGATTCTCTTAGAGGATCCTCAGATATTAGAATCTCTGACTATTTGTGGAATGTAGCCTTTTAGGGCCAAACTGGATGTAGCCAGAGTAGTGAGCGCCACGCATTTTGAAAAAGTAGAGGCTGAGCTCGGGGCTTGCGTCCCCAGGAACTGACCTGAGCTAACAGCTCCTTTCTGTTTCTGAGTCTGACACCAGCTCCTGTGACTCCAGCACTTTAATGGGCCTGCTGGCCACAGTCGCCTGCTCCTCGACCTTGCATGTGTGGGGGAGAGATGGCCCTAGCCGATGCCATTTCACGGGCAGTGACAACACCAGCGTTTTTGGCCACACTGGGGTTTGGGGAGACTCTGTTGTACATGCAACACCATTTTCTGTTGTTTTGCCTGCGTTGGCTTCAGAGCCTCCTGGAATCCTGACCTCCCACTTTATCTCATTGCTGCACAGGAGGACCCTGTTCCCAATGGCCTCCGGGCCCTTCCGGTGTTCTATGCTGCTACGATAGCAATAAATGTCTTTTCCATCATGTACACAGGAGCCCCAGGTAAGAATCCCTTGGAAGCCAAATCCGGCAGGCGAGGTGCAGTGAGATCCTAACGGGGTCCTTGTATTTGGTGCTGGCGCTGCTGCCTCTGTTAGTAGAAACGGTCCCTGGTGGTCTTCTTCATGGAGCAGTAAATGCCTTCACTTGTTGCAAATACCCAAGAGATTTGTGAAATGCAAAAGCAGCAGACTTTCAAGCTAAAGAGGAAAATTTCCGCCCCCATTCTGGTCTTCACCCAGCTGTTTTGCCTTTACAACTCACTTGGCGTCTCTGAGCCGTAGGACAGAGCTGGGGGTGGGGGGCCAGGACAGGGTGGGAGCACCCGGTGCCCGCCCAGCCCGGGGAGTGGTCCTTCCATACCTCCAGGTCACGCCAGTTAACCTGGGTGGAACCAGAAGCCATGCTTTGTTTTTTCAGACGCTGAAACCAGCGATGAGTCTCTTGCCCCAGAATTACTCCGTTTCTTCCCGTTCTCTTGGCTTTTGTCTTGTAAGAGTTTGCGGGGGTTTTTGAAGAGGGGAGAGGAGTCGGTTGAAAATTCCTTTCTTTTACATTCTGTATGTATGGTGTTTTTAGTCGCATACATTTCCAAGCTGATGAACTGGTGACATTGTATTAATTTTTCTGTGCCTATTTTTCTTTGTGAGGGGCGCCTCCCACGGCAGGATTCTGAATACACCCACTATTATGTTATAAGGTTCAGTTACTGGCCGTATCTGACAGAAAGCGCCCCTGTCTATGTTCTAAAGATAAGCTTTCTGCCAATTGGCATGTCTTATTTACAGTCAAAAAGTACCATCTTCCAGAATAGAGGGAAATCCGTGTTGCTTTCTCAACCCAGGTTCCCCCTGGGTAATTTTTCTCAGATACTACTTTATTAGACGTATCTAATTGTATTTTTGCACACTTCATTACTAAAAAGATAATTCTGCATGATTCTAACATTCTATAACCTTTTACTTTGGTTCACAGCATTTAAAGCACCAATTTTAAAGGTTTAAATGGCTCGGCACCTGTGGCTCATGTGGCTAAGGCACCAGCCACATACACCCGCAGTGGCGGGTTCAAATCCAGCCCAGGCCCGCCAAACAACAATGATGGCTGCAACCAAAAAATAGCCGGGCACTGTGGCGGGCGCCTGTGGCCCCAGCTACTTGGGAGGCTGAGGCAGGAGATTCACTTGAGCCCAGGAGCTGAAGGTTGCTGTGAGCTGTGAAGCTACAGCACTCTACCTAAGGGGACAGCTTGAGGCTCTGCCTCAAAAAAAAAAAAAGTTTAAATGCTGACTGCAGGGGCCTGCACACTTCAGATGATTTCAGGTGGCGAAAGTGCAAGGCTGGAGGTCGGAGCAGTGAGAGCTAGGGAGAGAGGACAGCCCAGGCTCAGGTAGCAGCAGCCAACGCCCCTGCAGGCTTTATAGTTCATGGACTGTGAACTATGTCTGCCCCAGACTTTTCAAAGTGTCTGCATCCCATGATGAATTAAACCTCAGAGAGGCAGAGAAACAGCATCTGAACCATGGAATGGAGCTCACCCACCACCGTGTGGGTCCCCAGAGTGTTCTCACAGTGCTGGGTGCTGGGAAGGCCTGGAACAGGGAGTCAGAGAAAACCACAGCAGAGAGATTGGTCCATCCATAACCATCTTGGACGCAGGTGCTTGTCCTTACTGTATTTTATTTTATTTTACTTGGTTTTTTTTGTTTGTTTGTTTGTTTTTTTGAGACAGAGTCTCACTCTGTCACCCTGGGTAGAGTGCCCTGGTGTCATAGCTCACAGCAACCTCAAACTCTTGGGCTCAAGTGATCCTCCTGCTTCACTGGAGTAGCTGGGACTACAGGTGCCCTCCACAATGCCCAGCTAGCTTTTAGAAACCAGATCTTACTCTTGCTCAGGCTAGTCCCAAACACCTTAGCTCAGGCAATCTGCCCACCTCAGCCTCCCAGAGTGCTGGGATCACAGGCGTGAGCCACCACATCTGGATTGTTCTTAATTTTTTATAAGTTTTTCACATTCACATTAGCTGAACAAGCCACAGCCACCCACCACAGCCAGCGGCCTCCTGCTCAGTGACTTGGAGACTGAGGCTGCCGTTTGTAGCACCAGCTTCCTCTAGTTTTGCTTCCCGGTGCTTCTTCCAAAGGTCAGAAGAAGACAAGTGTGGATTTTCCCAATGCTTGGCCTGTTTTCTCTGTCTTTTTTTCTTTTCCCTGTCTTTTTTGCTGCAGTTTGAGTGCACATTTGCTAAAAGAATCACCTTCTCGAGGGAGTTAGTCTTTCGAGGGAAAATTAAAATGTGTGATGGGTGGGACACTAAGATAATATAAATATTTCATGAGGCTGTCCGGAGAAATAAATAATACAGATCTGCTGAGCCAAGCTTCACATGATGACGCGATCCTCACGGTCCACGGAGCCTCCTCCAGGAGACAGGCCATATTGGTGGGAAACTGAGGTGGGGCAATGCTGAGGACTTAATATATAGCTAGGGAGAGGGGCAAAACCAGAATGTGGACCAGGCAGTCGAGTCCTGAGCTGCAGGGCCTTGCTTGTGGCATTGCCCTGGTGTGTGAGATAGAGGCCGGGGGTGTCCAACCTATGGGCCACTTACTGATTATATAAGGACTTTTTTGCTGATCTGTGGTGGCAGCACAAAAATTACCCATGGACTTTTTTTTTCTTATTAGCTTTTGTTAGTGTTTGTGTGTTTAATGTGTGGCCCATGGTGACTCTTCTTCTAATGCAGCACAGTGAAGCCAAAAGGTTGGACACCCTTGGTAGGTGAAACACATAGTGTAGCTGGTATGTCATGTTACAGTGAATGACAATAAAAATTGCCCCAGCTGGGTGGTGGCTCGCATCTGTTATCACAGCACTTTGGGAGGCCAAGGTGGGAGGATTGCTTGATCTCGAGAGTTGGGGATCAGCCTGCACACCATAGCAAGACCCCATCTCTACAGAAATATAAAAAATTACCCAGGCATGATGGCATGTTTGGAAAAGTTGAGACAGGATCCCTTGAGCTCAGGAGTTCAAGGTTGCAGTGAGCTAGGATGACACCACTGCACTCTAGCCTGGATAACCTTCAGAAATTCTATCTTTTCTCTTACCTCCTTTTAAAAATGTCTTCCAATGTGTTTAAGAAGCTGGTCGTATGTTTTTGTATGTATTAGGAATATATAAAATCTGTATACGGCTGTTATAGATAATGAAACATCACAGACAGTATTCCCAGTCCTGGAGTCAGCATCAAATAAGTACTTTGGTTGGGCAGCTGTTCTGTCAAAAATGTAACCTCTCCTCACCTCCCCAGTCTGTCTCCTTATCGTAAACTAGTCTGATACTTCCTGAACTCTCCCGTAATGCTGTGGTCATGAGGCCAGGCAGACAGGCATGGCACCTGGTGCACAATCACGGCTCTTGCAGTGGTCCCTTGGTATCCTCCAAGCCCCGTGATGTCACAATCTGCAGACACGCCGTCCCTTACGTCACCACTGTGTCCTCTGAGCCCAGGACGCAGAGGGCCCCCTGTACCTCAGAGGCTGTCTTGTTCCCGTCAGTCATAACTAGCTCAGTCCTTCAGCATTAAGTCACCAGCAAACCTTGAGTCACCCTTTCTATTTTTTTCCACATATTTCTCTGGAAAATCTCTTGCCCAAAGTTTTCCGGGGAGGTTTCCTAAGGAGGAGGAAGGAGAAACAGCTCATGACTCTGAAGGAGGGACCAGTTTGTTCCTCCATTGAGTCAGAGAAGGACTTTGTTAATATTTTGGTTCCTGGGGGATGTTTCTAGAATACCTGGTATGTGAGTCCAAATCTTATTTTTATGTAAGCACTAAAGGTTTTGTCCTTCAAATTAGACTTTAATTTCTTTCCTTTTTTTTTTTTTTTGAGACAGAGTGCTCACTGTATTGCCCTCAGTAGGGTGCTATAGCATCACAGCACACAGCAACCGCAAACTCTTGGGCTTAAGCAATTGAATGCCTGAATGCCTCAGCAACTGAATGCCTCAGCCTCCCAATAGCTGGGACTACAGGCACCCGCCACAACACCCGGATATTTTTGTTGCAGTTGTCATTATTGTTTAGCTGGCCCGAGCCGGGTTCGAACCTACCAGCCTCAGTGTATGTGGCCAGCACCATAACCACTGTGCTACGGGCACCAAGCCTAGGCTTTAATTTCATACTGTGTCCTCACATGGGGCATCTCTGCTTGCCCAGCTGTGTCATAAGTAGCCGTGGTGTCGTGTTTGGCGAAGATGAGGGCTGAGGAGTCCCTGTAGTGGTGTCCGGCATGTGCCTGCCCACCTGGGGCTCTTTCCTCCCAGGTTCCTCTCTTCCTTAGAACATCTCCATCCAACACATAAAGCCCTCGGAGATAAAAGCAAAGAAATGAAGGCCAGCACTACCCAGTTCCAACTGTCTGAAATTTTGAATAATAGCATTTTTCTGCATTTATCCAATGTGAATTAAAGGGGGTTGCATTAGATGTTGTTTAGATTTCTTCCACTGTAAATTATTGCGAACGTGTTTATGTCTTGGGCTTAGTTTGACTTGTTCTATTCACATTTGACATGACTTTCCTCGAGTAAAAGTCATCCTTAACACTTCCAAGGCTAACTCGGCACTAAAAAATGGCCTTTGCATTTTTGTTCTTAAACAAGTGATTTGCAAGAACCAAAAAAATAACTGTAGGAAATAAAGTACTTAATTGAGTTGATATAAGCCTGAAGTTCGTTTTTAATGGAAGACTCTTCAGTTATGTGGAACTGGTTGTTTGAACAGTGAGTGCTGGAAATCAATGTGTGTGCTTTGAAAGATTGCACAGCTGAGCCTCCGGTAGTTACATAGGAGGTCAGACAATTAAGTTCACAAACTTGTTCTTTAAAAGGTGACTGACCTCATTGCTGAAGGTCACTGTGCTCACCAGATGGCCAAGGGGAGCCCTTTGAAGGTGACCACGGTGATAAGCCAACGAGGCGTATAGCACGTTTGGGGGATGAGTTCACGAACTTAATTGTCCAGCCTTATATAGCTTCTAAGTCAAAGTGTCATCACTAAACCAGCAGCATCAGTATCACATGTAACATGTGAGAAACACAGGTTCTCAGGCCCCAGCGGGCCCCGGTCGCCCACAGTCTGCGTCCCAGCAGGGGCCTGCGGTGATTCCGCTGTGTGGGGGTCTGAGGTTCACGGCTCCGGTTACCTCCTTCACCATAAACGCCGCTGCCCTACTGTGATGTTCATGTAAGGGGTGCTGCTCTTACAAGGCTCTAACTAGCAACCTTTGTACGCTATATTTTACCAGCAAATGAATTCTCAAACTAAACCTGAGACGAAGCCACTGCCACCATCTCAGCCTCCTTCATCTTCCTCTCCTCTCCCTCCTCCTCCAGCTCTTATTCCCCTATCACTTCCTCTTCCTCCCGGTTGCAGCTGCTTCTGATCCAGTTTCAAGGAAATCAGAACCTCAGCAACCCCAAGGCCCCCAGCTAGCTTTGAGTGAGGAGCTCTGTCCCCAGAGGGCCTCTGTATCCGTGTTGTAATTGTGCAGCGCAAGCCGGCAAGAAACCAGAAATCACAACTGCACTGACTTCCCCGTTAGGCCGGGGCAGCTCTGGAGTGAGAAGAGTCTCTAGTTATCACCAAGGGCTGGATCAAGGCAAGTGACTTAAATTCACTTCCTTTTCAAAATTATTATAAATGAATTCTGGTTTGAGAAAGCTGGTGCCACATGCAAAAAAAAAAAAAAGAGAGAGAGAGAGAGAAAAAATCCTACTTAGGGAGCAAATTAGGAGATGGGCTTTTTTTAATATCACAGGAATGCTGCTTTTCTTAAATAAGTTGCTTCAGGATTCCCGTTACGTAGGTAGATCCTCTCATGCTTTGAATGTATTGATCTAAAATTAAAAAAATAACAAAAAGTAGGAATTTATCAGGGAAGCAAGATAGTAAAGATAATTGTGCAAAGGAGGTGACGCCGTGTGTGCTGCCGTGAGGAGACACCCACGGCACGTTGTTATATTACGGGCAGTGTGGCTCCGCTTCTGTTTAAGAAAAAGGAGATCAGAAGAGAACCCCTGCAGACTCCCTCGTCTGCACCTAGGAAGGCAGAGGTAGTGACAGTTCATTGTCCTCTGGGAAGTGTGTCCCGAGGGGAGAATGACAGGAATGTTCATACCTGCAGCTCCTGTGGCACAGCTGGTGTTTGTGCAGCACACACATGTGCTGATAAAATCCAGATGAGAAATCGTGCAGTGAGTCAGTAAGAAGGAAGTTCACAAGGAGGGAATGGCCAGGCTGCGTATTAGAAAGTCATATGGCTAAAACCTATTGGTACACACAAGATCAATCGGTTGATTTATAGACTCAGAGTCTCACTCTGTCACCCTGGGTGTAGAATGCTGTGGCGTCACCATAGCTCACAGCGACCTCAGTAGCTGTGAATAGCCTCCTGAGTAGCTGAGGAGCTCCTGCCACGCCTGGCTAGTTTTTCTATTTTTAATAGAGACAGGGTCTCGCTCTTCCTCAGGCTGGTCTTGAACTCCTGAACCCAAGCGATCCACCTGCCTGGGCCTCCCAGAGTGCTGGGATCACAGGCGTGAGCCACCCAGCCCAGCCAGATAGACTCTAGTAACGAGTGTTAAACGTGGGACAGACAAGAGGCCCGATAAAGTAATGACCACGGAAGCCACATTTTATGAAAAGTTCTGTGTCTTTCTTTCCTTAGTGACGTGAATATTCTTCTGATCTTTTGGGGATCCAGAATAGAATTGTCAAGATACTTGAGGTTAGAGCTAAACCACTGTTCATTGTATCTTTGCTGTTCAGAACATGAAAGGAGTTTGAGATGAAAGGCCATTTAGTGGTGGGAGCCGAGGGCTGCGGTCCAGGGCTGCCTGCACTGGTTGCTGGCAGCCACTTTTGGCTGAGCGAATGTGAGCAATTGAAGCAGTGCCTGACTGTCCACCACAGAGTGGAAGATGTGCGAATCTCACTGGCCCGTGAGTTGTAATTATTTGGAAACAATTTGATATGGGCACCAGGAAAGCGGTTCAATACCAAGTACTTCTATTTAGAAGAGAGCTCACCCTCGCTGGGCATGGATCCAGCCTCCTTGGTGCCGAGTGTACCGAATTGCTTTTATCCTTGAGACTGGATGTTTATGACCTGTTCAGTGCAGTTTGGAGCTGTAGGACATAAACACTGTCAGTTTGTGTTTTGTTTTTTTTTTTTGAAACCGAGCCTCAAGCTGCCCCCCTGGATAGAGTGCTATGGCATCACAGCTCACAGCAACCTCCAACTCCTGGGCTCAAGCGAGTCTCAGCCTCCCAAGTAGCGAGACACAGGCGCCCGCCACAACGCCCAGGTATTTTTTGGTTGCAGCCATCATTGCTGTTTGGCGGGCCCGGGCTGGATTTGAATCTGCCACCTTAGGTGTATGTGGCTGGTGCCTTAGCCACTTGAGCCACAGGCGCCAAGCCAGCTTGCATTTTTATATGCAGCCTTTATTTTAATTTTTTTAATTTTTTATTTTTTTAGAATATAAAAGTGTAAGTTTATTTTTTTTTTTTTTATTTATTTATTTTGAGATGGAGCCTCAAGCTATCCCCCTGGGTAGAGTGCCATGGCATCACGCTCACAGCAACCTCCAACTCCTGGGCTCAAGCGAGTCCCCTGCCTCCGCCTCCCAAGTAGCTGGGACTACAGGCTCCAACTCCTGGGCTTATATTAGAGAGAAGGAAGAGAGCTGGGGGAGAGAGAGAGAAAGAGAAAGAATACAGCAGGGGGGGGTGGGGTGTGTGTGGGGGGTGTGGACGGGTTGAGGGGAGGAAAGGAGCCAGAGAATGGGATGGCGGCCTGGGGAAAGATCAGAAGAGCGTCCTGTACACAGCATTTAAAAGTCAATCTTCATGTTCTTCCAATGCTGTGCTAAATCTCCAATCTGCTAGAACAACTCAGTCAGAGCCCTGTCCACGTCCTGTCCCTCTGTCCACTCCCACTCCCTGTTTTCCTGGGCTTCTCTCTCCTTCCTCATTTTTCCCCCATCATCTCCTTGCCACTCCCCTCAGTGACGTGTCCCTCCTCTTGTTCCCCATCCAGTTTCTCATGGTGAGGAGGTGACTTCAGAGCTTTCCAGTGATTTCTCAGGCCACCTCCATGGCAGGGGCAGGTGTGACAGCAGAGGCACAAAGGGCAGGGGACAGACACAAGCGAAGGATGGGAAGCCCAGGGCTGACCTCACACTCTCCCTTCTGGAATTGGTCTTGGCCCACCGGGCCGTGTGGCCCTGCCAGAGGACACAGAATGCAGCCCTCCACTGTGTGTTGGGCCCTGCTCAGCATGGACACAGACAAACTAGGGCCTCATAGCAAAAGTGTTCACTCATTTTTAAAAAATATGTCCCAAGTTGTTTCCCTCTCTCTGCGGTTCGGAGGGCTCGCCTCTCGGCTCAGGTTAACACAGTGAAGCCAAAATCAGCACAATTAATTTCACCATCAAGGAAACCACAGGGCAAGCAGGGAGAACCTCTGGAAAACCGCGCTTTGAAGCTGGAAGACTGGTTGGTGTTGGTGGGATTCTGACGTTAGTGTAATGAACACTTAGGGCTCAAGCTGGCAAGAGATAGCTCTGGTGAGGCTGGGGAGCTTCACCACATGTGTGGACCACAGACATGAGGACAGGGCCGCACAAGCCAGAAGCTGGGCCTGTGGCCATGGAGGGGTCAGTGAGGAGTCACAGAGGCAGCTCCCAGCTTCAGATGCAGGTGGGGGGCTGAGCTGGAGCGAGGCGCCGACCACAGCTTTCTGATGGAGCCGGGCACTCAGGAAGGGACAAAGGGCGTGTCCTCTCACCACTGAGCTCTCAGCTGTGACTCAGCTCGGTGATTTTGAGTTTTTGTGCTTAGTATTTATGTACACTAATTCTGACTCATTTATAGCATCAGCTGCCTATTCTTTAACCTCTTATTATTATCAAAACGTTTAATAGCACCTTAGTTGGGTAACTTTGAGCTGGTTTCCGTGTATAACGTGGCTAACAGCATAACTAAGCCTGCATTATTAAACGTTCATAGAAGCTAGGAGCAAAGTTCTAATTCACTTCTTTAACTACAAAAAAAATTTTTTTTTTTTTTTAGTTAGAGTCTCACTCTATTGCCCTGGGTAGACTGCTATGGCATCATAGCTCCTAGCACCTCCAGCTCCTGGGCTCAAAAATCCTCCTGCCTCAACCTCCCAAGTAGCTGGGACAACAGGTTCCCATCATGACACCTGGCTAATTCTCCTATTTGGTAGAAATGGGGTCTCGTTCTTGCTCAGGCTGGTCTGAAACTCCTGAGCTCAAGGGCTCTACTTGCCTTGGCCTCCCAGAGTGCTGGGATCACAGGTGGAGCCACCAGGCTCAGCTTGCTTGAGAGTTTTATTAAATACAAAGTCCAGGTGATTCATCTGAGATTTGGGGAACGGGAACATCCATTGCTCTGGGGCTTGACCTCCACAAAAGCCGATGACGACACTGCGGTCTGCTCTCTCCCCAGTGCTGGGCCTGGTCCTCCCCATGTGGGCCATAGCTCTCCTGTCCTTCGGAATTGCTCTGGTGTTCGCCTTTTTCGTGTGGCTGGTTGTGTGTCCGTGGATGCGGAGGAAAATAGCAGGTATGGACTCTCTTATTCTTACCCGATTCCTGAGACTTCACGAGTGATACACAATTATCCTTACTAGTGGAGGGGCACAGTTATACTTACTAAGGGAAGCGTGGGTGCTCCAGAGCACACACCGAGGCACACGCCCCGTCCCCTGCCTCCTGCCTGGCTGCTCCCCTGGCTTAAACTTTTTCTTGATAAATTGTGACCCAGGTGAGCAATACGGTCCTAGTTACCCCAGGTAACTGGAAGTTAACTATGCAGTCAACTTCTGCCAGCCCAATACAAAACGTTAGTGTTCCAAGAAACGCAGATTAACACCACAGTGAGATGCCGTTTCATGCCCACGAGAATGGCTGAAGGTTAAAAAGACTAGCAGTCCCAAGTGTTGGTGAAGAGGAGTTACTTTTAGAATTCTCGTTTATTTGTGCTGACGTGTAAACTGGTGCAACTATTTGGGAAATCTCTTTAAAGGTTTCTTTATAAAGGTGCCCATGTGGCTCAGTCATTCCGCTCCTAGGTATCTATCCGAGAGAAATAAAGACATGCTCAGAAAAAGGCATGCATGCAGATCTTTTAGTCAGAATAGCAAAATAGCTAGAAACGGGAAGCAACCCAAGTGTTTGTCAATAGGAGAACGAAACCGGTAAATTCATACAGCAGAAGAGAGGACTCGTCAGTAAAGAGGGGGGACTCCGGGGAGATACAGCAGCAGTGACTTTCACAGCCCTTAGATCGAACAGAAGAAGCCAGATTCTGTGTGATTCCGTATTTCACTAAATTTCCACCAATTCTCCATTAAATGTGCCAGGGAATTTTCCATAAAATTCGAGAACAAAGAAAACGAACCTATAGCAACAGAAACCCCTCACTGCCTGGGATAGGTGAGGGGGTGAGAGAAAACTGGGGAGGGGCAGAGCCCCTCTCCGTCCTCCCTGGGGAGGGCCTGCAGGGGGTGCCGGCTTGCCGCAGGGCGTCCACCTGTCCCTTTCAGGGTGTACGCATTTTATTGTATATAAATCATACCTGGATAAAAACACTCTTAAGAATAAAAATATGGCTTTTAAAAAAGTCAGCCAGGTCTGTTTTCCTTTGACCAGAAACATAATTGAATTTTAAGCCTTGAAGCCGACAGCTTTCCTAGGACTCTCCCAAAAAAGATACTTGTCCATTGCTTGAGCTCAGGAGTTCAAGGCCAGCCTGAGCAAGAATGACTCCCTGTCTCTACTGAAACTAGAAAAACTTGCTGGGCGATGTGGCGGGCGCCTGTAGTCCCAGCTATGGGGAGGCTGAGGCAAGAGGATCGCTGTGAGCCATGATTCCAGCCATGATACCCAGAGCTACAGTGAGACTTGTCTCAAAGAAAAGAAAAAAGAAGAAAATAAATTTGCCCTGGGAATGCATGTTTCAATATGAGTATTAAAAGTTAAAAATTCATGGAGTTGAAAATCCATGTTTCAAAGACCAAAATAACGGAAGAGATGCGTCACACTGATAAATCAGAAGACTCAGGCGAGTCAGATTGTCGGCTGGTCCCAGAGCCATGTCTAGACATAGTGCGATTTAAATAGAAATCCCAGCAGGAGAGCTTGTAGATTTACACAAACTACTTTTAAAATGGATATGGAAAGCTAAAGGAACGAGAACAGCCAGAATAGTTTTGAAAAAAATCTAAGAATGGCTCGGCGCCAGCCACATACACCTAAGGTGGCAGATTTGAATCCAGCCCAGACCCACCAAACAACAATGATGGCTGCAACCAAAAAATAGCCTGGTGTTGTGGTGGGCGCCTGTGGTCCCAGCTACTTGGGAGGCAGAGGCAGGAGACTCTCTTGAGCCCAGGAGTTGGAGGTTGCTGTGAGCTGTGATGCCACAGCACTCTACCCAGGGGGACAGCTTGAGGCTCTGTCTCAAAAAAAAAAAAAAGAATAAAGTTGAAGGACTCATTATCTGACCTGAAGATTTACTGTGAGGCCAGAAGACAGCATGGTATTGGGGAGAGAGGTGCACAGATTAATGAACAGGACAGAGCCACACAAATGGGACCGATGGACTTTTGACAAAGGTCTAAGTGCAGCCCAGGGAGGAGAGGATAGTCATCTAGACAGATGCCGGAGCACTTGGTCATCATGTGTCAAAAAGAGAACCATAGCCTAAAGCTAAGACTTACACCTTATTTAAAAAAATTAACCCCAAATTCATCACAGGTCTAAATGTAAAAATAGAAAGCAATCAGACTTGTAAGATAAAATAACAGGGGAAAACTTTTGTGACCTGGCATTAAACAAAGAATTTCTAGGCTTCACGCCAGAAACATTCACGAAAGGAGAAACTGATCAATTTGACTTCATCAAAATTAAAGACATTTGCTCTATGAGAAACACTATTAAGAAAATGAAAAGACAAACTGTAGATCAGAAGGAAATGTTCGCAGACTCCACATCTGACAAAGGACTTGCCTTCAGAATACATGTATGTAAAGAAATTTTAGAAAACAAATAATTTGACTGAGTGAGGCGGCTCATGCCAGTAATCCCAGCACTCTGGGAGGTCGAGGCTCAGGAGTTCAAGACCAGCCTAAGCAATAGTGAGACCCCATCGCTACCAAAAATAGAAAAACTGAGGCAAGTGGTCATAACGTCTGGCCCTCTCTTCTTGTCATTTTTAAATATAATTACTCAGGCCCTAAACTCCCATTTTTCTCCTCAGTAGCTGAATTTTCCGGCTGGAGTTTTCCCCATGACTGATTGGACTTTTTCTACTTTATGTTTTCCATGTATAATAGTTGTAACTTTTTTCTTTGCTTTTGGTGTTCAAAGTAAGTACTAAAGTTTAAAGATAAATGTATGCTTTTTTTTTTTTTTTTTTGAGACAATCTCCCTGTGTCGCCCTTGGTAGAGTACTGTGGCATCACAGCTCTCAGCAGCCTCAAACTCTTGGGCTCAAGTGATTCTCTTGCCTCAGCTTCCCAGGTAGCTGGGACTACAGGCGCCCACCACAAGGCCTGGCTATGTTTTTTGTTGCTGTTGTCATTGCTGTTTAGCAGGCCCGGGCGAGGCTCAAACCCGCCAGCCTGGGTGTATGTGGCCCGTGCCCTACCCACTGAGCTACAGCCTCCACCTAAACGTACGTTTCTTATGCTTGTTTTTCAATAACAAGAATTCTCTCCCTAAATTTTCAGTTACGACTGTATTTTCTTTAGGTAAATTACAAAAAGAAGCTGCTTTATCACGAGCCTCTGATGAAAGCCTCAATAAAGTTCAGGAAGCAGAGTCACCAGTATTTAAAGAGCTGCCGGGGGCCAAGGCTAATGACGACAGTGTCATCCCACTCACTGGGGCAGCTGGAGAGACGTCCTCCGGGGCCTCTGAAGGCACATCCGTGGGGAGCCACCCCCGGGTGGCATACGGTAAGAAACCCCCTCAGGGCCAGGGTTATGGGGTGGCTCAGAGACGTTCTCGGGGCAGGCCAGGCCCTAGGGGTACACAATCTGGCTTTAATGCATAAAAGTATCCCCCCGTTTTATTTTTTGGAGAAACCTAGAGGCTAGAGAGGCTTTCAGAGTCCACTCCACAGGCAGACTCTTGTCCTGTGATTTTCTTCTAAGAGCTATTTATAGCCTGATCTGGGGTACCAAGGCCTGCCCCCCCACTGGGTTTCCTGAGGCTCAGCTGCCTGTTTGGCTGGAGTCACCTGATGGCTGACTCCTCCTCAGTTTACTCTGGAAGATAGGAGGAGGAAGAAAAAATTATAAGGAAAGAGCTGGTCCTACCACAGAATCACAGGAGCCTGGAGAAATATCCAGATCGTCCTTCAGCCATGACGTGGGCTCAGACATGGCCCAACGAAAGCAGATTAATTTCCCTTTGCAGATATGACTTGACCTTTTTAAGAGGCACCTAGAATACCTATGTTGTGTGAAGTGGCTTATTTGAGATTTTTCTAAAATAAGTTCCGTAGAAAGATGCTGCCTTTAACTGGTATCCAGAAAAGAAAGAGCACTGGAGTGATTTCTGGAAGATGCTTTTGAGCAGAACTTTTCCTTTTAAATTACCGTATTATTAGTTTTGCCTTTTTGTTGCCTTTTGTTTTATTATTTTAACCACATTACATGCCCTTTATAGTCTATTTAGAAAATTAAGCAGATGGAAAAAATTAAAATAATTCACAATCCAACCTTCCAGAGATAAGGTCCGTGGCAGGCAGGTGCCAGGCCCCACCTTGCCGAGAGGTGGGACCCTCCCAGGCGGGCTGTCTGTGTCCACAAACATTTTGAGGCTGGACACCCCTGGGGGTCTGGATGTTTCTTAAGGTTTCTGTGATTCTGTGGTAGGGCTGTCTCCTTCCAGACACGGTTTATAGCCAGAAGGCTGGAACCTGAGCTGTTGTTCAACCCTGTCTAGGAAGGGCGCTTTCCATGACTCCCGGCTCTGTAAAGTCACCCGTCTCCAATGGCACCTTCGGCTTTGACGGCCACACGAGAAGTGACGGCCACGTGTACCACACCGTGCACAAAGACTCAGGGCTGTACAAAGACCTGCTGCACAGAATCCACGTAGACCGGGGCCCTGAGGACAGGCCGGCCCCCGAGAGCAACGTGCGGCTCCTGCGACGTAACAACAGCTACACGTGCTACACGGCGGCCATCTGCGGGGTGCCCATGCACTCCACCTTCAGGGCTGCCGACGTGGCTGCCGCTGAGGACAGTGAGAAGCTGGTGGGGGACACTGTGTCCTACTCCAAGAAGAGACTCCGCTATGACAGCTACTCGAGCTATTGCAATGCAGTGGCTGAAGCCGAGATCGAGGCTGAGGAGGGCGGCGTGGAGATGAAGCTGGCGTCCGAGCTGGCAGACCCCAACCGGCCGCAGGAGGACCCCGCAGAAGAGGAGAAGGAGGAGAAGGACACGGCGGAGGTCCACCTCCTGTTCCACTTCCTGCAGGTCCTCACCGCCTGTTTTGGATCCTTTGCTCATGGCGGCAACGATGTGAGGTGAGTGTGTTTGCTCACTTGGCGACAGGGTGCTGAGTGCCTGCCGGGTGGGGGAGACAGCAGTGGCCAGCACAGACCGATGTCCCTGGTCCTGCACAGACAGTAAACAGAGAAGTTGCAAATGTCATGTGCCAGATGGAGATAAATGTCAGAGAGGAGAATGACACGGGGCAGGGGTTGGGCTGGGAGCCTGGGGGTGGCAGCGGGAGTCAGGCTGCTCAAGCAGGGCCAGTGGGGTCTGGCAGAGGGGCCAGGCCCTATGGCTCTGTGGGAAGGAGGCACAGGGGTACAGAGGCCCCAGGCTGAGCGTGCCTGGTACACTTGAGGAAGAGCTTGGAGGCCACAGAGGGGATAAGCTGAGATAGGGGAGCCCCTAGAGGCCTAAGCACAGGCCACATAGTACATGTGGGACAGGGTTGCATGGGCTTTGGTCTTGTGAAAAACCTGGAGAGAAATAAGGGCAAGGTAGGGAGGCCGTTTGGGAGGTGACTCCAGCCATCCAGGGTAACCTGGGACCAGGGAGGCAGCAGGGCAGCCACGTTCTGGGTCTGTTGCGAAGTTCAGCCTACAGAAGAACATCTGAGAGTAGCAGTGGACATGGGAGAAAGGAGCAGGCCGGGTCCAGCCACGCCGGCCCCAGCAAACCAAAGAGTGGAGCTGCCATTTCTCAGCAAGGATGACCATGGGAGACGCAGGTCTGGGTGGAGTGGAGAAGCCTGGAGCTGGATATGTGAAGTGTGACATGCTGTGACATGTGGGTGACAAGGCAGGGCAGGCAGCAGGCTCTGTACACCTGGGGGCAGAGGGACGTTGGCCGTGAGACAGATGCAGGGCTCCACTGTCCCGGAGCTGGCAACCCCAGGTGAAGCACCTGAGCATGGAAGCAGGGAGGCAGGCACTGGGCAGTGCCCTGCAGGGTACTGGGAATGAGGGGGAAACACAAGGACAGGTGTGATGGGAAGTCACAAGAGCTTCTAGGAGCTAATCTAGAAGCTGACCTTCGTACCCCCTTAAATCTTTCCTCTGTCCACTTAAAAATTTCTAACTTGTTACCAAAACTGCTAACACAGCCCAGGCTTGGTGGCTTGCACCTGTAATCCCAGCACATTGGAAGGCCAAGATGGGAAGATTGCTTGAGGCCAGCAGGGCAACATACCCATCTCTAAATAGAAGAAGAAGAAACTTATCTGCATGCACCTGTAGTCAGCTGTTTGGCAGGCTGAGGCGGATCTCTTTAACTCAGAAGTTCAGGGCTGCAGTGAACTATAACTGTGCCACTGCATTCCAGGCAGGGCAGCAGAGTGAGACCATCTCAAAAACAAAAACTGAAAAAGAAAAAAAAATTCTGCAAAGTATTGAACTTCCAGGCTGGTGATTTACCAGCTTTCCATGTATTCGTTCAGTCAGTCAGCAAACGTTGTTTGAATGCCCGCTGCATGCCAGGTGTGTGGAGGGCTCCAGAGCTGGAGAAGTGAACAAGAAGTGGTGTGTGTGCCACCCCGCTCCTGTGTGGGCACAGCCACATGAGCAGAATATGGCAGGCTTGAGGTGAGAGTCAGCTCTGGAGAGGAGAGGGCACTGGGTCTCGGAGGCCTACCAGGAGTGTGTCAAGCAGGGAACCAGAGCAGGGCATTTCTGAGTAGAGGAAGTCGGCCTCTCTGACCGTGCTCTCGTCACAGCACCCCCGCCCTGAAAGACTGCTGTGAGAAGGAAACTGTAAAGTGCCAGAGACCTGGTGGCAGATGGCAGGCACACACCTGTGCTCAGTGGTCCTCAGAGCAGGAGTCTGGTGGGGTCAGTGCCCGTCAGAGGGCCCAGTGGCCCACGGTCACACTGGAGAGGGGTTTGAAATCTTGCGGGAATTACCAGAACATGGACACAGATGTAAGGAGCCCGTACTGGGGGGGAGCCAGTTGTGCAGGGTAGCCACAAACCTTTAGTCTGTAAAAAAACCCACAGTGTCTGCAAAGTGCAACAAGGTGCCTCAAGAGAACAGAGGTGTGCCAGGACCGCGCCGGTGCCTCTGTTCTCCAATCAGTATTCTTTTTGTTTTCCAGTAATGCCATTGGTCCCCTGGTGGCCTTGTGGCTGATTTACGAACAAGGCGCAGTCATGCAGGAAGCAGCCACCCCCGTCTGGCTGCTGTTCTATGGAGGCGTCGGGATCTGTATGGGTCTCTGGGTTTGGGGGAGAAGAGTGATCCAGACCATGGGGAAAGACCTCACCCCCATCACGCCATCCAGGTAAGTCAGTGGCGGGGCTGGGTGGACAGCGTGCATCCTCTGAGGCATGAGCGTGGCCTTGGAGTCAGGCAGTGTCCCCCTCATGCCATCATGTCACCCCCTTGCTGGCTCTCTGTCCACATCTGCAGGGTCAGAGGAGAGAGTCAGGGAGATCAGAGGTGGGAGAAGGTAAACAGAGCTGGGTGGGGGGAGCACAGCCCACCCTGCAGTCCCCCACCCCTACCTGTCCACCATGAGGTCCAGGGGCCAGTGGGGACAGGGCGGTGCAGCCCAGAGAGTTCTCTGACCATCCTTCTGAGGTTGCCTGGGTGCCCTTCCTCTGGCCCAGGTGGCCCTGCCATCCTGGGGGTCCGCAGGCTTTGCGTGTGTGTGTCCCTCTGTTGTCCAGCCCTTAGCTTAGTGGTTAAATAAACTTAGGAGACAACTTTCAGATCTCAACCAAAATTTTGAGCTCCTTATTGGAGAAATTTTTTTGTCCTCTCTCTTTCTTTCTTTTTTTTTTTTGAGACAGAGCCTCAAGCTGCCCCCCTAGGTAGAGTGTCATGGCATTACAGCTCACAGCAACCTCCACCTCCTGGGCTCCAGCGATTCTCCTGCCTCAGCCTCCCAAGTAGCTGGGACCACAGGCGCCCGCCACAACACCTGGCCATTTTTTGGTTGCAGCCGTAGTTGTTTGGCGGGCCCGGGCTGGGGATTCGAACCCGCCACCTTAGGTGTATGTGGCTGGCGCCCTAGTCGCTTGAGCCGCAGGCGCCGAGCCTGTCCTCTCTCTTTCAAACTTTGGAGTTGCTGTAATCAGTGAGTACCAAAAGAAATTTTTTAAATTAAAAATTAAAAACAAATCTCGGAGGTTTTCACTTCCTTTTTAGGTTTTCCCTCTTGAAATTCATTTTTAATACAGATTCCTTTAGAAGACTGATTTGAAGAAAAATCAGTAATCTGAGAAAAATCTTTTGCAGTTTTTCCTGTGCTGCTTTGGAAATGGCTGATTTGCTGTCCTCTCACTACACAGCAGGGATTTCTGACCCACTCAGTGCAGTGTGTGGTTTTTAAAACCAGGTCACACAGACGAGCCTGTCAGGCCGTGTACGGCACAGCCCAGTCTCTGTGTGAATTGTTCCCGTGCTGTTAAAGCCCCTTCGGCAGCCCACGGTCGACCCAGAGAGTGTTCTGGTAGGATTCCAGCTCCCGCGGGCTATCAGGGAGCTCACACCGAGGGTGCCTGTGACGTGTCTTCCTGTGCTCCTTCCGCAGTGGCTTCACGATTGAGCTGGCCTCGGCCTTCACTGTGGTCATCGCCTCCAACGTGGGCCTCCCCGTCAGCACTACACACTGCAAGGTAGGCCGCTACACCTGGTCACTGAGCGAGTGTGAGGAAGCTGGTGGCACTGTAGGCGGGTGGCTGTGAGAGAAGCCCCTGGAGTCCTCTGGGTGCTGGGAGCTTGTTGGATGTGGCATGTGCTTTTGTCCAGCTGTCAATGTCTATGCTGCCCGGCAGGATGAGACTTGCCCTCATCAGACGGGCTTCCTGGTGCACAGAGGTGCGGCCCACTCACCCTCTGTCCTGTTCTCTCTCGATGCTTCCAGTGAGTGTTGCACTGAGATCACACGTGTGCTCCCATGTTAGCCTCCCATGGGGCCCACCTCCACTGAGATCACACGTGTGCTCTCGTTTTAGCCTCCCATGGGACCCGCCTCCACTGAGATCACACGTGTGCTGCCATGTTAGCCTCCCACGGGGCCGCCTCCACTGAGATCACACGTGTGCTGCCCTGTTAGCTTCTCATGGGGCCCGCCTCCACTGAGATCACACGTGTGCTGCCCTGTTAGCTTCCCATGGGCCC